ACAGAAGTATTTTAAAATCAAGAACAAGACATGAGTGCCTCTATCACTTCTGTTTAACATTTTATGCGTTTTCTTAGCTAGAGCAAGTGAGAAAATAAAAAATAAGGACACAACTTTGATAGCTTTCCCTTTGAGATCGGGAAAAAGATATGGACACCAGGTATTGCTATTACTGTCAGCATTGTACAGGTGGTCTTGGTCAGTGCAATAGGCAAGGAAAAAGAATAAGAATTGGAAAGGCAGAAATAAGTGTCATCAGTGCAGGCGATATGATTGTGGTAGTAGAAAATCATGACCAGTTATCTGTATTCCCAGCTTGTACCTTGCCCATGAACTCTGAACCTCTATATTCAATTGCCTAAGTCCTTATCTCTACTTGGGCAACTAATAGGCGTTTCACACTTAATGTGTCCAGCCTGCTTCTCCCACAGTCTTCCCCATCTCAGTACATGGCCCAAAACCTGGAAAATATTCTCATTTCATACCTCATATGTTTTTCACACTTCACATTCAGTCTGTCAGCAGGTATAAGAATACACCTAGAATCAAACAATCTTTTGCATCAGAAGGGAGGAAGAGAATGGAATATCTCTTTAAATTTGCCAAAATTAACAATGGAAGGATAAAAAGGGATTAAAGACTGGTGACCTCTGGGGAGGGAAGGAAAAAAGGGTAGAAGGGAGATGGTGGCACAATTTCTAACTTACCTTGTATTTCTTTTTTGATTTTTATTTTTTGCATCAAGATAGTTTTATTCATTGAATATTAAATCAGTATTAAAATCTCACCTCTTTTTAAAGGCATTAATAAAAATAAGACTTTAAGTTTTCTGCAAATAAAAAGTCAATGCAAAAAAATTCCCAGGGCTGCAAAGCCCTGCTCTGTTCTCTAGTAAAGGGATTTCTAAACTGAGGCTGATTTCAATCTCAGGATTCTCCCTGGGGGCCCCAAAGGGAAACAATCAATCAGGAAGGGCTCAGACTTTTCTCCCCATGCAGACATCTTCTCCTGGGACACCCTCTTCTCTGTCCCTACCCACGACGCAAAACCTTGTATTATTGTTTTGACTTTAAAATATGTAAATGTGCCAGAGAAAAGAATCATTCCACGTGACCTCAGAATATGGTATTCTGACTGTAGATCCTCAGTAGGGTATACTACAAGCATAAAAAGAACTGCAAAGAAATCTTAAACTTTACTCAATAACTTTGTTGTCTGTAGTAATCCTGGTATTGTTATTTGAACCTGTTACATATTTAAAATAAGATACAATAAGTATTTAATGTTGTTAGGAATAAAGGTTTTCAGCATAAGAGAAAAGATATAAAAATAAAAGAAATTAAATAAAAACTATCTGTAGCTCTTATATATGAGTTAGAATCCATGATTACAATGATTATTTTCCCTTTCAAAGATACATATCTTCTAACTCTGTTCACTGAAAGACCTTGGTACTCTAACAACCCAGTGGCATTAAGCTCCTACCTGCTAGATTTCTCACTTTAAATACCATTCCCCACGGAAAGGAACTAGGCCTTCTTAGGGAAATGCCTGATTCCAGGTCTGGAGCTGTTATGCCAGAAAGCTAGAAAGCTCTCAAAGGCTATTAGGGTTTGGTTAAAGGGATGGGAGAGGTTGTGATTAGAGGTGAGATAACTTGTTTCTTGGAGCTATGTGCTGGAATGTTTGCAGATGTAGTGATGAGGTGTTCGAGATTTGTTTCAGAACAGCCTAGTGGTAGGGAGAGGTGTAGATGAAATCATGTAAATGTCCATGACTTAAGAATTTTTTTTTTTTCAGGCAAGGCTTTATTGGGGGTTCGTGCTGTAACACAAAGGAGTGAAAAGAAGGAACAGGTGCCCTTGCTCCTTTTTTTTTTTTTTTTTGAGTTGAGAATTAGTAAGTCTAAGTGATAGATATATAGGGATTTGTTATACTATTTTCTATGTGTTTGAAAGTTTCCAAATAAAAATAAAAAAGCATAAGAACAAGGGAAAAGGGGGTCCTACAGGCCAAAGATGGGACAATTTGTGTTTCAAAAATACTAATGACTACCTCTGATTAAAACTTACTGTGATAAAAAGCAATAATTTGTAGTAATACCTAAAGAAAGCAAAGCTCGCTGGACACGTTGAAGGTAGCAAGACAATAGTTCATTAATATAAAACTTGATAATTACAGGGAAAGAATAAGTGTTTATTTTGCTTTTCCAACACCAGTGCCATTTTCTCACCCTAGTGGATGAGAAGAAGTTCTTTACAGAGCAACTTGAGCTCATAAATGCCGAAGAAACGATAGAAAATCATCATTCTGCAAACCATAATAAAATACCTGTTTCAGACAGTTGTTATCAGAGCATGGTAAATGCATTAGGTAAAATATTTTTTAAAAATACATTTATTTATTTATTTTTGGCTGCGTTGGGTCTTCGTTGCTGTGCGCGGGCTTTCTCTAGTTGTGGCGAGCGGGGGCCACTCTTTGTTACAGTGAGTGGGCTTCTCATTGCGGTGGCTTCTTCTGTTGCGGAGCAGGGCTCCAGGCGCACGGGCTTCAGTAGTTGTGGCTTGAGGGCTCCAGAGCGCAGCCTCAGCAATTGTGGCACACGGGTTTAGCTGCTCCGTGGCATGTGGGATCTTCCCAGACCAGGGATCGAACCCGTGTCCCCTGCATTGGCAAGTGGACTCTCAACCACTGTACCACCAGGGAAGCCCAATTAGGTAAAATATTGATGGGCAGTTTTAATCAGGCTGTTACTATCTGAATTTGTTGATTAATTTAGCATCACTAAAAGTAAGACAACCAGATACAAGCCTCCTAAAGTGATATAATATTATTGAAGAGTATCACACCATCTATAAAGTATTCTAGCCAAAAATGTAAATAATAGCATGAAAGCAGCCATAGACAATAAGTAAATGAATGTGCATGGCTGCATTCCAGTAAAACTTTACTTACAAAAAGGGTGGTAGGTTGGATTTGGCCCAAGGCTGTGGTTTCCTGACATCTGCTATTGAAGGTACAAAAATATGGGAGTTTTCTCCTTTATTTTATTATTTATATATCTATGTATTTTTGGCTGTGCCCCACGGCTTGTGGGATCTTAGTTTCCCGACCAGGGATTGAACCTGCGCCCTCGGCAGTGAAAGCGCGGAGTCCTAACCACTGGACTGCCAGGGAATTCCCTCTTTTATTTTAATTATGGTAAAATTTGACAAGAAGAAAGGTATGGTTTTGCATGATATCACGCAATGAATGTAGGATTTAAAGTTAGAAGCCTTGGGTTCAAATCCTGACTCTAAATTGGCTGTGTAACTTTAGGGCAGTCACTTAACCTTTCTGATCCTTATTTTATGCTTCTGAGAATGAGGATAGTAATAATGTACACTTCACAGGGTGGTTTTAAAGATCAAATGGAATAAGGTATGTGAAAGTGCTTTATAAACTGAAAATGCTAAGCACATATTGCTTGTTCTCACAAATTGCTTGTTGCTCAGCATCTTATAGATTCATCTGTAATAAACATTAAATATTTAAAAGTAAAAGCAAACTAGAAAATTTGAATTTAAATGTAATATAAATACGAAGACTGAGAGAAATGAGCTATACATTATGCATTTCTCTTTTCCGAAGCCAACAAAGTGACTTTAGATTGGTAAAAGCTGCTTTTAACAGAAGATGGTATAAATATATTTTTCCGAAGTAGAATTTTCTAGGGAAACATTGGTTTTCATCACAGGTGTGGGATTTATAGCGGTAACGTGCTGGTGGGGGAGCTGAGGAAGGAGGAAGTGGAGAAGCGCAGGTAGGTGTTGACAGGGAGGCCTGAGGGGAAGCCTTTGCGGTGGGCAGCAGGAGCGCATCCGTGACCTGCAAGAAAACATTTTCAGGAGAGCAGGAACATGGCGAAACTGCAGGCAGCCGGGAGGGAGTGGGCGGGGAGGAAACGGAGGCATTAAGCAGACACGGCTCTTTCTACACCTTTGGCAGAAAAGTGAAAAAATAGGGTGTTGCTTAAAAGGGCATCAGGGTTGGGTAGATGCTATCTCAGAAAAGGGAGGGCAGCCCAGGGGAAGGAGTGGGACCAGGGTCCACGGGGAAGGGAGGCAGCCTGAGGGCAGGCAGGAGGGAGAGTTGAGAGTGGGATGGAGAAATGTCCAGGGACGGGAGGTGGCCATATACCCGGCCAGTGGAGGCCAGGCTGCAGTGAGCAAAGTGGGGAGGGGAGCCTTGCAGAGAAGGGCGTGGTGGATATGAGAGCTCCCTCAGAGGCTGACCAGCGATGGTGTGTCCTCCCTCAGTGCACTGCCCACTCCGGGCTTTACTTTTACCCTCAGACTTCACTCAGCCCCATCTGTTAGAGATCACGCATTTACAAACTATAAGCTCCTTGAGTGCAAGGCTTATGTCAAATTCAAATCAGTATCTCCTGTAACACTCAGCATAATGCTGTGTGTAACCCATGTTTGCTGGATGTCTGTAGGACGTGTGAGGGAAGAAATGAAGGGAAATTGCCACGATTACAGGACCGAGTCAGCAGGGGCAGTTGGCCTTGCATGGTTGGTTTGGTTAAAGCAAGCCTCCCCACCTAGGTAGCGATGAAAGGGAGATAGCCTACATTCCTAATAAATTAAAAGTCACTTCCTCCTGGGAGCCCACCGTCTCCAAATTTGGGTTAGATACCCATACTGTGTGCTCCCGGAGGCATGTGTACTTCCTCATTATGGCATTTTGCACCCTCTGGTGAAATGGTCTGCTTACTTGATTGACTCGTCTGTACCCTACACGTCCGTTGAGCTTCAATTGAAGGCAGGGCTCATATCTTTCTTGTCTCTGTATTTGCATCACTGAGCACAAAGCCTGGCACGCTCAGCACATCATAGGTTCTCATTAAGTATGTGTTCAGTTGATTACAGATTAGCTGATTGGGGATCTGAAACATTGAGAACTGATTGTAAGTATTGTCTCTGGGTCTCTTTCTCTTTTAAACCCTGCCACTGTAGGAGGAAATTTGGTGCCTTCTAAAGGACTTCAACCCTCTCCATGTCCACAAAATCCAGAATGGCTGCAAATGGTAATGACTGTTCTTCCTTTGTTTTCTTTGGGAAGCAACTCCTTTCCTCTTTGTCCATTTTGCTGATGCACTGATGTTACAGACTAGCTCAACAACTCCCAAAGCCACACCCACTGCGACTTGGCAGAGTGACATTTGGGAAACCCCCTTTCCACATCCAACCCTCTGACTTGGCAGCTAATGCTGCCTTATCCATACAACCTTGGTTTGGAAGTCCAGAGACCTGGGTTTGCTTTTGGTCATGTCCTTGCTCTGTTTTCTGACTTGAGGCAAGTTACTGCACCTCCCTCAGCCTTGGTTGCCCCTGAAATCTGGACCTACTCATATTTTCCCTTTCTTATTTCCCAGGCAGTAAAAGGGCTTTGAAATTTTGTGGGGAGCGGTGTGAAGGAAGCCCAGAGCTGTGCCATATGTTATACGGTGATAGGGTCAGCATGTGTCTCCTGATCCCCAGGACACCCAGGACAGGCTGTCCCACTGCCCATCCCAGCCCAAGTGTGGATGTCATTGTGGCCTCCTGGTGTGTTAGGGTCAGCCCAGCTCCTCTCCTGTCCCCACAGAGGGGAGAGGAGACTTTTCCTAGGCTTGGGCTTGGTGCCCTCCTGTGGCTCTGTTCTGAGCCGGGCTCAGAGCTGCCCTCTTCTTCCTTTGCAGCTTCGCATTTGTAGATGTGGGCTCCATGCAGAAAGTGGCGCTTGCGATCCAGGAGCTGAATGGGAAGCTCTTCCGCAAACGAAAACTGTACGTGAATTCCAACAGAAGGTCTCCCAAGAGGACCCTTGATGTGACTGAGTGGACCCAGGAACTGCTGGTAGGTGTCTGGCCTCTCTGCGCTCTGGTTTGCTCTGTGCTCACTCTTCGGAGCTTGGCCGACTTTGCTTTCTGTCCTTTCCTCCTCCTTCCATCCCAGTCATACTGTGGACAGAGCAGGGGCTGGGATGAATTTCGGGAACTTTTATGACCTTTAACGGTTGGAAGCAAGGTTAGTATGGAAAACTTGGAATTTTGAAATGAAAGGAAGGCTGTATTCTTAGCAAGGACAAAGAAAGGGTTATTAGGCAATTCAGTCAGGGCTTTTTCAACGTGGCTTATGGAAATTGAGGCTTTTACTTGTTTAACGAAGCAGACATTAATCGAGTATCTGTTGTTTGCACAGCCTTGTTCTGGGTGCTGGTGTGAGGGTAAGTAAGACAAAAGTGAATAAAATCTGGTCCTTCCTGGCAGGAAGACAAATGTGAGGTATTGCAAGGGGAGAGTTAATGGTGGGTTAGCGCCTGGTGGGGGCTGCCTTTGTGGACAGAGACGAGAAGGACCGTAACTAAGCCCTGGGAGCTTCCCTCCGGTGAGGTGGGCCCGTTCTCGGTAGGTAAAGGTGAACCAGGAGCAAAGCATCCCACTTCAGAGCCTGAATTGTTAGCGATTGAGTTGTTCTGACTTCCTCATATATACAGCCGACAGTGACTTAAACAAGTTAGCTATTTGTTTTTCTTTCCTGTAGAAGAATTCAGGAGGTAAGGAGTCCAAGGTTGGTATGGGCACTCCATGGTGTTATCAGAGTTCCAGGCAGGAAGAAGGGGAGAGGCAGAGGGTGGAGAGGCTGTATCCTCCTAAAAGCCGCGTTCTCAGAAGCCTGACCACAGTTCTGCTCCTGTTGTGTTGGAGAGAGCTACAACTGGTGGCCTTCAGTGCAAAGGAGGCTGGAAAATATAGCTTATTTTAAAATAGGTACATTGTTGCTAAACTTGGGAATCTGTCAGCAAGGGAAGGGAGAATGCCTGTTGGCAGGCAGTTAACAAGGTCAGCCATTGCTGCAGAAGTTGGAGATGGGAGTTGGGAGGTGGATAGGAATCACCACAGTAAGATTGTCAGAGGTGGCTCCCCTTGCTAGTCCAAACTATTCTCTTTCCATTCTCCTTAAACTCTAGCTCTTGGAAGGGCAGGCTGTCAGATTATGCTACGTACTGACCTTCTTGGTTGCAGTCATCTGCCATTCTCGCTGTCATGCCCCCCTGATAACTTCAGCTTCTGACTCACTGTCTTTCTCTCTTACTGACACTCACATTGTGTCCCTGTGAATGATCTAAGAGTCTGGCCCCTTATTTCTAGAGCATTTATCTTTAATGATCTTTTCTTCCACTCAGTCAGTTTCCCATTCCCTGAGTTATATCTCAGACCTTGTCATTGCTCATAACCGAACATCTCCAAAATATCCGTTTCGAGCATCCCACTCTGCCCCTGTCCCTTTCTTTGCAGCTCTCTTACTTTGGAGGAACAGTTCTCAAACTTGAACAGCGTCAGAATCACTGCTGAGCTTGGTAAACAGCTTGCTGAGCCTCACCTGCAGAGATACTGATTGAGTACATCTGGGGCAGGGCCTGAGAATTTTCCCAAGTGCCAGGTGGTGCTGGTGCTACTGGTCCTGGGACCACATTTTGAGTAGCAAGGCTCTAAAGCCCCCAGTCTAATGATTAGACACACTGGGACCCAAAATCCACTGCCTCACCATTTCTTCACTCTTCAACAATCTTTGCTCCATCACATCCCTTCTTAGCTTAGATTCCGTAGTTATAACTACCTTAGTTCAAACGACCTGAATTCCCTTAGCTTACTAGGTCATATCTTGCAAAACCCCTCTCTCAGTTGAACCCAGCCCTCAACCTCTTCTGAAGCTGTCCTGTGAGCCGCTGAAGATATCCACACCACCTTGCCAACTGCTCTCAGTATAGGTATGGCCACAGCTTTCCCACTCTTTCCAACTGACCTGTCTTGGAAATCTCTAATCGTTTCTGCTGTTATGTCCAATCTGCTATTAAGCCCAGCTAATGCATTTTTCATTTTAGATAGTGTAGTTTTCAACTGCCATTTGGTTCTTTTTTTCCCATTTCTCAGCTGAACTCTTCCATCTTTTCATCCATTTTGTTTACCTTTTCTTCCATGTTCTTTAACATACTTACTGTAGTTATAAAATCATTTTCTGCCAATTCCAACAGCTGGTTCATTAGTGGTTCTGCTTCTATTGACATTTACCTCCTTGCTTAAGGGTCAAGACTTCTTACAAATATGGTAATTTTTGATTGTATGTTGGATATTATGGATGTTGTATTGTAGAGACTTTATATTATGTTCTCTAAATAGTGTTGATTATTTTTTCCTAGCAAAAATGGAACACTAGCTGGCCTTCTGATCTTATTAAAGTTGGTTTTCTTTGTTCAAATTAGTATACTTCAGTTTGAGCCCTAGTTTTTGGGCAAAATCCTTTTCCTAAGGCTTGACCTTCTAGGGTGAGGGTCTCAGGGCGCTTACCAAGGTCTCTGCACTCTGGCCGGGTCGGAACTCTGTTGTCTCCCCAGCACTGTGAGATCTTTGATTCCTGTATTCCTCTCTTAGCTCCCTGTCCTCTACCTTCTACAGCAGCTCTTCTCTCGAAGGCCTCCCAGAACTTGCCCTGCACACGGGCAGCCTAGGATTCAGCCAAGGACCTGGGGTCAGCCTCTAGATCTCTGGGGCTTTTCTCTGACTCCTTTCTCACTGGTACCCTGTCTCACAAATTCCTGGCACCAAAACTCTTATCTGGGTTTCTTCTGCCCAGGAAGACTGCCACTGACTGCCCAAGCTCTGCTTGCCTTTGCTGTGGTTTGGGAAAATGCCCAGAGTAAATGTGGGCTCACCGGCTGTGCTTTCCTTTTCTCAGGCAAACTGCTCTCTGCTACCCACTAGCATTAGCCTGTGCCAGAAACGGTTAATTCATATAGTTCGTCCAGTTTTAGGGTTATTTGGGACGGGCGAGTACTGTCATGCCAGAACCAGGTACTAGAAAAGGGTGTTAAGAGGCTCGCCTTCTTCCTTTTGGGATGGCTATCATTTCTCAGGAACATTCCCAGTGCTTTTGCATTAGAAATAAGTAACCAAAAGATGAACACTAATCTCCATACATTTGGAAATCTAAAAACATATTCCTAAGTAAACAACACATGGGTCAAAGAAGAAATCATAAGAGAAATTTAAAAGTACTTAGGAGACTTCCCTGGCCGTCCAGTGGTTAAGACTCCACACTTGCATTGCAGGGGACACGGGTTCAGTCCCTGGTCGGGGAACTAAGATCCTGCATGCTGCATTGCACAGCCAAAAAAAAAAAAAAGGTACTTAGAACTGAACGATAAGGAAAATTTTTCTCATCAAAAGTTGGGGGATAGGGCTTCCCTACTTAACTACTGGTGGCACAGTAGTTAAGAATCTGCCTGTCAGTGCAGGGGACACGGGTTCGAGCCCTGGTCCAGGAAGATCCCACATGTCTCGGAGCAACTAAGCCCGTGTACCACAACTACTGAGCCTGTGGTCTAGAGCCCGCGAGCCGCAACTACTGAGCCCACATGCCGCAACTACTGAAGCCTGCGTGCGTAGAGCCCATGCTCTGCAACAGGAGAAGCCCCTGCAATGAGAAGCCCGTGCACCGCAATGAGGGTAGCCCCCGCTTGCCGCAACTAGAGAAAGCTGGCACTCAGCAACAAAGACCCAACACAGCTAAAAATAAAATAAATAAATTTATATATAAAAAAAGTTGTGGGATACAGCGAAAGCAATACTTATAGGGAATTGTATAATATTGAATGCTTAAATGAGCAAAGAAACAGGATGAAAATAAATGAGCTTAGAGTTGATTGAAGAAGTATATAAAAAGTAAAAATAAACCCAAATAAGGAACAGACAAAATTTTTTTTTTTTTTTGGCAGTACGCGGGCCTCTCACTGTTGTGGCCTCTCCCGTTGCAGAGCACAGGCTCCGGACGCGCAGGCTCAGCGGCCATAGTTCACGGGCCCAGCCACTCCGTGGCATGTGGGATCTTCCCGGACCGGGGCACGAACCTGTGTCCCCTGCATCGGCAGGTGGACTCTCAACCACTGCACCACCAGGGAAGCCCAGAAAAAGGTTTTAAAACAAAGTTTTTTAAAATTTAAAATTTTGTAAACAAAGCCACAATTATATGTCAGTTACATCTCAGTAAAGCCGGGGGGAAAACAAGAAGCATAAAAAACAAAGCTACAATAGAAGGGATCAGTAAAGTCAAAATTTCATTCTTTAAAGAGATTAATGAAACAGAAAAACCTTTGGAATGATCAAGAAAAAAGGAGAAAAGGGCATAGGTAAACAGTAATAAAAAGATCATAGCTATAGATGTAGCAGATAATAAAATATAAGCTAATACGGTAATAAACTTGAAAACTTAGAAGAAATGGACACATTCCTTAAAGTATATCATTTTCAAAACTAATAAAAAAACCTGCTAGCCCTATATCTGTAAAGCAGTTGAATCAAAGTTTAGAATCTTCTTATAAAGAAAACACCAAGCCCAGATGGTTTTATAGGCAAATTTTACTGAATTTTCAAGGAACAGAAAATTCCAATATTGTATAAATTCTTCTAAAGAATAAGTGAGATACTTGCTAGTTCATTCTATGAGGCCAATATAACCCTGATATCAAATCAGACAGGAGAGCATAAGAGAGAAAAATTGCAGGCTGGTTTCACTCACATGAATACACATGCAGTGTTTCTGAACAAAATATTGGCAAAATGAAGTCAATATTGGCTAATGAAGATAGTATTATACATCATGGCAGTTGCATTTTTTTTCTAGAAATGCAGAAGTAGCTTAATATTAGATAAATGATAAATCAGGAGTTCCCTGGTGGCCTAGTGGTTAGGATTCTGGGCTTTCACTGCCAAAGCCTGGGTTTAGTTCCTGGTCAGGGAACAGAGATCCCACAAACCATATGGCGCAGCCAAAAAAAAAAAAGAAAGAAAGAAAAAAAG